CCCTGAACCCTAAGCCTAAACCCTTTCCAACCCTGGACCACTGGTAAACATCATGGCGTTGGCCGTCCCTCCATATCATGTCAAGACACTTCCCACATGCTTGCGGAACACCGGGATTTGGGATTCATGATTCATGCTTTAGGGTTTAGGGCCCTTCTGAAATCCAGTATCGGGAGCCTAGGGGTTGAAGGCTCAAACACCCAAGACGGACTGATAGTGATACAGGGCAGTTTGCAATCATGATGAGCACCAACAGCGTGTTAGAATGTGGGAACGCCTAGTATAGACCCACCAACAAACGACCTGGTTAGACTCGGGTAGCCTGCATGCTATTGAGAGAAACAAATTTCTTGCGAGCATGTGCCACGGAACCTCTCAAATAGCTGCGTATTGGATTGGGGAGGGTTTGATTATCTACAAATGCAAACCAATCTGGACATCCCTTCCAACACCTTGGTTCTCAATAATTCGCAGGACCCCTGACGTGGACAGAGGGATAGTGTGAAATTCATGATGTAGTGCTTGCCGTGCCTGGGGCTCAATCTTGCTGCTTGCTGGCAGGGAATGAAGAAATCAAGAAGAAAACGCAAACTAACAAACTATGGAGAATTGTATAGGGCATGCAATAGGGATCATTCCTAGATTCCCTGCTAACAGCGAGCAAGTAAGTTAAGCTGCGGTGTTTCTCAGACGCACGAACCTGCTAGGGCGCCGCTGCTACAGAGCCACGGGATTCGGGACAGGGGGAGGAACAGCTTCCATGAATAGCTCCCCCATTGGGACACTGTCAAAAAGCTCAATTTTATTTTGTTGTGTTACAGTAGTTAAAGAGGTTCAATGTTAAGTCCAGTGAAAATTACCTCCAAGGCATGCAAATAGGAAATGCAGCGGGCTAGCCGCATTGTTTCGTGAGTCGTCGTTTGGGGAATGGAGCTTCAAAATGTCTGGGGCCTTCAGTTGCGTGGCTCATAGCAGATTCAGTTTCAAAACTAAAGCTGTGCACGATGCGCATCTCCAAGTACTCGCTCCACACAAACTCGAGCGACGGCGTCAAATGTAACACCTATAGTGCTCGGCCCGGTGTAGAAATCCTGTGGTCGAAAGTCGTGTGCAAGTCCAGCAACACAGATTTAAGATCACATGCTCACTTGAAGGCGTCAGTTCTTCAACTCGTGCGTCTTCTGAGAAATCCGAGCGATTTTGTTGATGGAGGGTGGCTTGAATCACCCTGAGAATGCTGGGCTTTCCTCACGTCCAGCCATGAGGCTTCTCCAGGGGTAATTCTAATATGATACTATAAGAATATAATACTAATCTATTTCAGGGTTTAAGGACTTGGCATCGCTACTTAAGGATGACCCACTGATTGCTGTAGAAAGGGAATCTCGAGGTACCGTTACAAACCCCTGGTGCCTTGAACTCACTCTTGGCCGTGGTGGGTGGGGGGACGGGGATCACTCGGAGGACGTCTGTAGAGGTTTAGGGTTTAGGATCTTGGCCCCTCAACCCCAAACCCTAAAACCCAAATCCTAAACCCTAAACCCTTAACCCTGAACCCTGAACCCTATCAAATAACCTGGACACCTGAAGTATATAAAATACGGGCTTTTGGGACTGATTTTAGGAGTTTTGGGCTATTATTTTGCTTACTTTGGGGTGTTTTGGAACCAACAAGATGACAGTAGATCCTGCCCTTAAGCTTCCTCCATCACCAAGGCGGGTACTTCTCAAAATGAAGGTTCTCAAACATAGCTCCCAAAGGACCTCGAGGAAGGGTCCCTTCATTAAGCTATACCCTAAACCCTAAACCCTAAACTCCTAAACCCTATAAACCCTAAACCCCTAAACCCTATAACCCCTATAAACCCTATACCCTAAACCCAAATATTGGCCTCCGTGGGTTTGAGAAGTTCCCATGCCATTCTTGGCCCGCGCTGGCACTTCAGGTCTGGTGGCCCAACAAGGACGACGGCCGCTGCACCTCATCAACGCTTTAGGATTTCGGGTGTAGGTTAGGTGGACCCTCCACCCAGTAATAGTGACTATAAGGGATAATAGGGACGATATTAGGGTCCTCTTATATTCCTGTTATACCACTATTACAGGGTGGGGGGTACTTCTAAGGTATAGGGTTTAGGGTGTCAGACATGGGTATCTCGAAAATATGCCCGAAACATCGGAGCCCTTATAGAGGTTTATTCATGGATATGGAGGTTTCCCAAAATCAGGGTACCTTCTTGGGGGTCCCTATAATTAAAAAAGATTACAATATATTGGAATCTATATTGGGGTCCCCTGTTTTGGGAGAAACTACCATACACCGTAGATCATTTGAAGGGTCCTAACATAATTTAACATATTCTCTCAATTCTCCGGGTAGGGCCGTTTCTGACGATGGCCACGGTTTAAGGTTTAGGCCGTGTGCGTGTGTGTTAGATAGAGATCTATGCTCAAATTGTTCATATGCAGTACACGGGTCGTTTTCTGGGAATTCTAGAGGGGGTAACTTGGCAAAGGTCTTTCTTTGAAATCTGGGTCCCGTAGCATCCTGTGGCCCCTTCGAACCCAGAGCAAGTGGAACCCGACAACATGGGTTTCGGGTTTAAGGCTAATCAAGGGGAACAACCCTCCTAAACCCTGAACCCTGAATCCCTAAACCCCAAACCCTTAATCCCTAGACCCTAAACACCAACCATGCGGAGCCGTCGAGCAGCCGAGTAGTTGTCAGCTGCTGAAGCGTCGGAGGTACCCAGCAGGGCCTCTCATGAGGGGCTTGGCCCTTTTTGTAGCAACCCTACCCCACAGGCTTTAAGTGCCCAAAGTGGGAATTCTAGATGTGCGGTTTCCCCACATAAAGTGAAATGATTAAGGTCGTAAGGTGCAGTCTAAAAACACAGCAGAGAGTATCCGTTGTGGGCTTCGAGCAGTTAAGGCATCAATTTTGGGAGTTGACGTTTGACCTTCCGAACTAGGCATTGCTTTGGCAGGTAAGGAAGGTGGAGTGCATGCCCCGCTGTTCGAGTAGCATGTCTGTTCGTTGTTCCAATAATAAGGCTAAACTGATCTAATCTCATAAGATACTATACCCAAAACGAAGATGAGGATGCATTCATCTTGCTCTGTTTTGGGGACTATAGGATGCCTCTAAACCCTAAATCCTTTGGGGACTATAGGATGGCCCGAAAAAACACACAACTCACAGCAAGGAAGCCTCAAGTTTAGGTGGTCGTCAGGTGTGTGCCCTTGAAGGTGGCCTATCTTAATGAGCTATAGTCTAGACTCCTAGCATCCCCTTAAAGATCCCTATATATAATAGTTCCCTATAGAATCCCCTTCATAACCCCGCTGAAGGGGTTTAGGTTAGACTATAGCTCATATTGGCATGTAGATCTCATAGTATGGCTCCATTACCCTCATACTAGTCTTAGCCTAATAGGGGGGTTAAACACCTCGTAAATCCTTACCTGGGGGGTGTCCTTGATCATGTCGACAACAATAAAACCCGAGCTATGAGCTGGCGCTTTCCTTTTCGCACGG